AGCCAATACTTTTCATAAGCTTATGCAAGTAAGTTAAAAGGCCTGAAGTAAATATATTGTTTGGTGTGTACACATGTGCAAAGGTGTGCATGTGGAGGACTCTGGGTATATCTTCCTTAATCTCTCTCCACCTCATCTGGGAGAAACAGAGTCTCTTCCTGAACCTGGAGTTTACTAGTGAGCTAGCCTGAGAGCAACAAGCCTGGATCATTCTCCAGTCTGAGCTCACAGGCTCACTGCTGGACATACTTGGGATCTAAACTAAGGTCCTCATACTTGTGGGACAAACTCTACCAAATTACCCATCTTCCTAGTCCCTAAATGGGTAATTTTTAAAGGAAAATATAATTCACCAAGCCATCTCAAGAGATAATAAACAAACAGACCAGTAAGGAAAGAGCTGCCATGTAAGTCCATAAGATAACTTTACAAAGTTCTACCAAACACTTAAAGACTGTGTCACAGCATCAAATAGTAAAACACTCCAATTCTTTTTATGAACTAATAACATTCCACAGGCCAGCTCCTCACTTAGAAAATTCCTCAGTCCACAGTCTCTTCTTTTAAAATGTCCAGCACTCCAGGAAAGTATGTCACTACAAAGTTGTTACCTTTACTGCCTGATGCTCATGTAGAAGGGTATGCCCACCCAGACATAATATAAGGTTTTTAACAGAGTAATGCACAGAAAAACTCACAGGCAGGAGTCCAAATTCCAGTGGCAGATTATCAGAATCATGTACAGATGTTTTTGCAAAGTGCCCTTACATTTCAAGAAGGTATGTATCCAAAGCAATTCCGTATTAACAGCTATTTTAACCAGTGATCAGCAAAAATTACGTTAGACATTTTATGCCCTAACATAATAATTTGTGATTTGTCGGTGTTTAACTGCTTTTTCATCATATTTTATGAAACTGTGGGGTTGAGTTAGCATGCAACATGGCAATGTTCTTTTAAACTATTTTACATGAGAAAGGCAATGGATCTCTTGCCTTACTTGTCAAAGAGGTTTGTTCCCTAACACCAGGAAGATAAAATACAATTTAAAAAAATGGCTGTAATTGGAACATCTGATTTTCAGGAATGGAGTACTGAGGTTGAGTATGATGTGACTATATAGCATTAATATCCTAACCTTACGATGCTTAAACACAGAATAGTGAAACCACAATATCCATCTCACTTTAAAGAACCAAGCCAAAAATCTTAGGAAAAGATTCGTAGAATCCAGCAATCCATTTCAAAATAAATACAGCTGTCTTAATCTGCATAATTACCATAGGTTTCACCTGGGTGACTTTCATTCTTGGTGAGAGGAAAAGAGTTCCTCAGGGACTTTGGAATGTGTTCGTCCCATCATCACACCACACACACACACACACACACACACACACACACACACACACAACCCGCCTGCACACTGCCTCACCTGCCTAGAAGAACACTACAGACACTGGCTGGCGTGATCTGGTTCTGTGAAGTACCACCACCCACTTCACAAGAGTCTCCTCACAAGCTTTTATCACTACTGGGGACTATAATGATCATGTTGATCTTGGTGGCAAATGTCCTAAGAAAGTAGCCAGTGTTATCCAAGCAGCCATCATCTTGGCCAAAGCTTTCCATTATCCCTATGTGGAGAGGCTACTGGGGAAACAAGATTGGCCATCCTGTGCAAGGTGACAGGCCACTGTGAGTCTGTGCTGGTGTGCCTCATCTCTGGATCTAGACCCAAGGGCATCGTCTCTGCTCCTCGGTCCAGAAAGCTGCTGCCACCGACCGGTATTGACGATTGCTACACACCAGCTAGGCCAGTGGTTCGAAGCCTTCCTAACACTACAGCCCTTTAATGCAGTTCCTCCTCATGTTGTGGTGATCCCCCAACCATAAAATTACCTCATTGCTACTTCATAACTCTAAGTTTGCTACTGTTATGAATCATAATATAAATATCCAATATCTCAACCCACTGGTTGAGAACCACTGAGCTAGGGCTGCACTGTCACTTTGGGGACTTCTCCAAGGGCACCTTTGATGTCATCTCCAAGACCTACCCAACCTCTGGAAAGAGACCATGTTCACCAAGTTTCCCTCTCAGGAATTCACTGTCCATCCTGTGAAAACCCACACAAAAGTCTCCATTCAGAGGACCTAGGCTCCATCAGTGGCTACCACATTTTTTATTTTTATTAACACACTTAGTTCATTCTATTTTTATAACAGAAATTCTATTTTTATAACAGAAAAATAGAATGAACTAAGTCTTCTAATAAATAATGACTAATTATGGTATATTCCAACATGGCATAAACAGTTCCAGATCTCAAATCCATTGCTATATATCTCTACATGTAAGAGAAAATATGACCTCTATGAATGCTGAAAAGACTTAACCAAATTTAACTCTTTGGACAGGCAAAAAAATTACAAAAATAGAAATTAATATATACTAGAAACATATGTTTCCACATAGGTCTAAAACCAGAATTTTTACCTTAGTACAGACAAAACAAGACAAGGGTACCCAATAACCTGGATGTTTCTACCAATGTTATCAGACAGATTAAGAGATCTAAAACTTGGAAGAGAGATACACTCACTCACAGAAATTTTGATAATGTACTAGGGAAAACAAAACAAGTAGAATCGATATTAAAACTAACGCTTGATCTGAGGATTCAGAAAAATTGGATAAATAATAAACATATAAAAAAGTTAAAAATTAATACCCTAGATTATTTCTTCTAGCAGAAGTAGTGACAGGTATCAGATTAACCCCAAAAAGGATAATCATAAACACCGGACAGAGAACAAAGTCATTAGTGAACACTTGTAATTTTGGCACTCCAAAGACAGAGGTCAGTGTCTGAGCTACAAAGGAAAACCTTGTCTCAGGAAGAAAATTTATATATATATATATATATGAATGACACTAAAAACCCAAGTCAGAGACTTGGAGAAAATACTTATAAAATACATTTGACAAAAGACCTCTGTGAAAAACATAAAAAGAGGTACTGCTGGAGGGAGAGTTTAGTGGTCAAGAGCACTTCCTGCTCTTGCAGAGGGTCTGGGTTCAGCAGCCAGCACCCCTATGGCACCATATGACCATCTGTAGCTCCAGTTACAGGGTTTCTGGAGCCCTCTTTCAACTCCACTGGCACCAGGAATGCACATGGTACAAAAGCATACATGCAGGCAAAACATCCACATATTAAATAAAAATTAGTAAATCTGTATGTGTAAGTATACATGTGTTTGTATGTATCTTGAAAGTTAATAATTATTAAACAAACCAATTAAAAAAATAGGCAAAAAACCTGAATAAAAATCTCCTCAAGGCCAGGCAGTGGTGGTGCACACCTTTAATCCCAGCACTTGGGAGGCAGAGGCAGGTGGATCTCTGTGAGTTTGAGACCAGCCTGGTCTAAAAAACCTAGTTCCAGGACAGCCTCCAAAGCCACGGAGAAACCCTGTCTCGAAAAACAAAAAACAAAACAAAACTCCCCAAGAAGATGCATAGATATCAAGTAAACATAACAAAAAACACTCAAAATCATACATCATTAGGAAGCTGCAAAGTTAAACAAACTCTACTATACATTTCATTAGAACAACCAAAGCCCAAACCACTAGTAACATAAGACTATGTTATGTAGGAAATATGTGAAGCCGTGGGAATGTAAACTAGCAAGCCACATTGAAGATAGTTTGGCAGGTTCATACAAAACTAAACATAATCTTACCACATACAACTTCACAATCATGCTTATGTATGCACTCATAGGAGTACATCAACATGAACCCCAAACATGTATGTCTGTTTATAAGTACAGTGGAAGTAACTGAAATATCCTTCTACAGGTGCATGGATAACTGCGAACTGCCAAGCCACAAAATTCCTTAAGTATATAATGATAAAGGTTATTTTCTCTTTCTTTCTTTCTTTTTCCTTCTTTCTTTCTTTCTTTCTTTCTTTCTTTCTTTCTTTCTTTTTCTTTCTTTCTTAAGCCAACCTGAAAATCTATGTGCTGTATATTCCAAGTATGTGACATTCTGATAAAAGGTCTGTGGCTGCCAGCATGGATGAGCCAACTATGGACAAAATCCCAGTGGGGTCCCTGGGCTCAGTCTCCGGCTAATCTATAGAGAAACAAAGGAGGGTCTGGGAAGACAGACTCACTTGTGCACATGGCAAGTGAAACCAGAATGGGCCAAAATCAAGTCGTCCTCAGAGGAAGTGCAAAGAAACTGATGGCTAAGGAGCTAAAAGCCACCACCCTGTCTTTCCAGACAAAGTGTGTGTGACTGACTACAAATGTGGTGTACATGGAGTATATAGCTCATGTGGTCTACTTCAGAGCTCCGTGCTTCCCTGGCCTTCCACAGGCACTGCCTCTCTCCCTGGAATGTTTTCTTTCACTCTAATGTCTGTCCTGGTGAGGACCACATCTGTCACCTCCAAGTAGCTTCTTACCATATGGCCTGTTCACTGTGCTCTTACTGCACACTCCTTTCTGGTTTCACACACATAGGAATGAGCCAGGAAAGGTAGCAAGTTGGACAAGGGGGCAGGGCTTAAGGCAAGGCTATAGGAGCATGTGAGTAGGTAGATGACAGCTCTGAGATCCTTGTCCTCAACTACCCATCCCCAGCACCGGTCCTTACCACCTTTTGTCAAGCAACAAAAGAAGATTTTGTGGTCTTTCTGGCTAATCTCACTACCTTCCACTGTGTCCCAGCACTCTGACACTGAGCCTGGCATAAGCCAGCAACATGAAAACATTTTTTTAGGAGGAGGGACAAAGGTATTTAACATCCATCTGCCTCCAGGGCAACGGAAAGCCAAGAGATAGCAAAGGACAGATACTGATAGCAAAGAACTTTCTCTCCATCGGGGAGAAAATTCAGAGCAGCAAGCTGGATCCCCAGCCACTGACACAGAGCAGCAGGAATGAGGGTAGCTGGGCCTGCCATTGGTACAGGAAGATACTCACTGGGAACTACAGTGGTCTCCCCGGGAGGGCCTGTCAGTGTCACTGGGACATGCACAGTGGTGCTGGGGTCTGAAGGCTGACTGCCCATCCGGGTGACATTACGCTGGTTGTCCGCATCTTCTGGTTGTTCTTCCACTTTCTGGAGACAGGTGCTGGGCAGCATGTGCAGAGGGCCCACACCTGTGACTGCAATGGTCTCCAGATCGCAGTGAGGTTCCCTGAAATCAGAATCCTCATTAGTCCCCTGCAGTACGTGAAACCTCGCTCCTTACGGCTATCCCTTTATGCAAGGCAAGTAAAGCCTGGGCTACCACCTCTCCATGTTTTGCATGGCTTCTGTCACCCTACACACTTACATTGCCTTTAGGTCTAAAAGGAAGATATGGAGCTTTGAATTTGACAGAGCCAGGCACTATTGGTTTTATAGTCTGTATGTAGATCAAAACCCCTTGGAGAAGGAAGCAGTCTAAAGTAGGCCTTTCCCTAGGACACCCTGCCAGGGACCCCGCTCCTCCCACCCCAGGAAAGGCCCAGCACAGTGTTCTACACACAGAGACGGAGCGCTGTTAGACTGATCCTCAACAATGGCCTCCAGCTGTGCCTAACCTGATTTCTGCCAGCCAGTGGGCAAGCACAAAGATGGTGGCTTCAGCCTCCCCCGCCAGTCTCCAGGTCCCTTGAAGAGTCAGAGCCAAAAAGGAGGCCAGTGCCCTGTGGTCCGTTTTTGTAAACTCAGCTGGCAACCTTGCTTGTTTCTCCTCTCACAGCATCCTCCCTTCATTCATTTACAGTACTCCCCAATTTTCTCTTCTCCTGGGTGCTCTGTTCTTTCCCAGGTCAATGTGTTCCCAATGTCTCCAGTCTCTCCCTAAGGTAGGTGTGTGTGTGTGTGTGTGTGTGTGTGTGTGTGTGTGTGTGTGTGTGTGTGTGTGTGTCCTGTGTCACTGAGTACACACCAGTTGCCACGGATTTTATTTAACAATGGGAGAAATGAGCGTGTGGGGGGAGGGGGCGGGGGAAATACAACAGGAGCAGCCTGGCAGAGTCACACTGTACCTTTCCCTATTATTTGCATAAGGATCCTAACACCCCCACCCCCACACTCCCAATACTCTGTCTCTTACATACTTGGGCTGATGGTTTCGGGTTTCCTTATCCCCTTCTGCGACATTGCTCTCCTTCTCTGCAGCCTCCCTCTCCGGGGGCTCAAGTGTTGGTGGTCCCTTATGCCTTGCACGGTGCCGGCGTGTGGGCTCTTCGCTGTTCTCTGCCTCACGGGGGCCCGTGCGAGGGCCTCGATGTCGTGGGCGTCGCTCGCCCTTGGGTGCGAGCACAGGTGCAGTGCCTTCTTTGCCTGATTCCTGTGCATGCCGGTGAGCACGGTGGCGCCGGGGCTCGCGTTCAGTGGCCTCCTCCTCCGGGGAGCCGCGGCGGGGGGGACGCCTGTTGCGCTCACTGCGCTCACTGCGGGCTTGCACTTCAGCCCCTGCAGCCTCCTTGCTGTGACTGCGACGAGGGCGTGGACGTTCCTCCCGGGCCCCAGCCTCGGTGTTTTCCGTCTTTGGACAGTCTGTTCTGTCCTGGTCACCGCCAGCAGGGGCCGTGGCTGAGGTCTTGTCTCTATCACGGTGCCGGTGGTGTCTGCGTGGTGGGTCTGCATTTTCAGTTGCTTCCGTGCCCTCGGGCTTTGCCTTGTTCCCCACAGGTCCCCGCAAGCCGTCCCGGCCAGGCTCCACCACTAGGGGCCGGTCCATGTGTGTCTTCATGTCTGGCCTCACATGGCGCGTGCTGGCATAACGCAGGCGCTCCTCGGGGTCCATCTCGCTGTACAGTGCCTCACAGCTAGCACGCAGGTTCTGTAGCCTTAGCTGACTGGCCCGCTGCTCCCACACTGAGCGCGCCTTGGCCGAGTTCTGCTGCCTGCTGCGGGGAGACTGTCATGAGTGTCACTGCCCACCTTATCTCTACCTCACAGGGAAGCCGCAGATGGACACAAGCGATGGAAGGATGTGGGGACAGGGAAGGAGAGGTGACCAGAGCCTTAAAGACCCCTGCAGTATTGCTGATGGGGGAAGAATATAGGGAGGGGCAGTTATCTCCTCCTGTCAGTGTCCTGGACGCCACTCTAGCAGGAGAACAATGGCCCAGAATCTGAAGGGTGCAAGGCTGTGGGGATGCCAGGTACCAGCATGAGTGAGTAAACAGAATTAAGATAAACAGGCAGCTAGCCAGGAAGGCAAAATGGGAAGGGAGACCATCTTGAAAACCGAGAAGGATTGATGGAAGCACCCCTGCAGTCTGCCTTTGGAGACAGCCCAGGAGGGGCCAAACAAATGGACACTTCTAGAGGCACTTACCCACGGTATCTCCCAAGGGAGTATGTGGCCCTGTCATGAGCAAACAGAGCTTCTGATGCACTTTGAAGCATTCTGGCAGCCCCCACTATTTGGCTCAACCAATTGCCAGGAGCAGGTCATGTCTGCAGCTGGGGAAACCCTGTTTCATGACCATCAATGCCCTCTTCTCCCTTGGCTCTGTGGGGAGCCTTGCACGCCACTGAGAAGAGAGCCGGGCATACCCTTGGAATCCTCCAGCACAGGGATGGACAGCAGTCTAGTTCAGTCCTCACTGAACAATAAACGACCTCTTCTTCATTCAAACCTCACTGGCCCAGACATCTTCTGTTCCCACATCCATCCAAAACAGGGAGCTCTTTCCCATTCTGGGCTCTTTACTGAATAAAACCAGCAAAGGATGTGGACCTAGCCCCACTTCTGCCAAGTAGAGACCTCATCTGGGGCTATAGCTTCATCCTTCTGTCTCTGGAGGCTCTGGATAACCCCGGCAATGTCTGTGGTATCACTATCAATGACAGCGACAATATCAGTGCTCTGGGTTCCATACCCACCTCATACAGCCATTATGACCACAGGTGCTTTTCCTGCACCCATTTCATAAGGATGGACACTGAGCCTAGAAAGAGGGTATGGCCTACTCAGGGTCCACAGTTAGTCACTGATGGAGTTAGGTCCACATGTAGACAGGGCAGAAGGAAAGAAGTGCCTGAAGAACACGCAAGCACTCAGTCAGACCCCAACTGCCTCAAAACACAGGTGTAAACTACACCCAAGGGAGAAGCCCAGCCACTGGAATAGACTGTTCAGTGGAAGGACAGCAAATCTTAGCCATTCTCTCATGTGAGGAGCCAGCACCTGGCCAGTCTGAAAGCTAAAGAACAGTAGAATCTGTGCCTCCTCCCCCAGGAGCTCAGGTGAGGCTGACAACAGAGCAACAAGAAATATCTGCTAGTTCCGGACCTCAGCTACTACTTGTCCTCACTGAGGCATCAAAACTGTGATATTTCTGTTCCAAGAATGCCGTATAATACCCACAGAGCTTCCTTGTCCCTGGTAGGAGTCATCTTTGCACAACACTGGAAAGCAAGAAAAGGAAGATGGCCTGAAGATATGCACCCATCTTCAAGAATCCTGGGGGAGTTGATGTCTGGTCACCACCTTGGGCCTCTCAGTCAGTCCAATACACCAAGATGGGCCTAGATTCTGAGTCCTCTGATCAGCAGAGAGCTGGCTGGCTCAATGAGCCTTTGGGCTAGGGCCAGCATCACAGTTCTCTGTTGTGAAAGATGGGCAACGAAGGCAACAGGTGCATGCATAGGCCTGAAGCTCCGGCTCTGTGGGATAGGCAGGAGCGGGCTCACTCAGGCCTAGCCTTGCCCCAGGTATGACCTATCAGGAACCACTTCAAGCAGAAGGAAAACAGGTTGCCCATGGGACTGAAGGGCATCACTGAGCTTACAGGGACCCCTCAAAACATAGAACAAATACCAACTAGCTGGGCAAGGGCCACCTACTCACCTCTGCTGGCTGCTACAGCCCCCCCTAGCCCATTTCTCTTGAACCAATTAACACCAGACTGCTTCTTATGATCCCAAACCCATAGAGATCACTGGGCTCCTCCCAAGTGATATCCAGTGCATATCTGGATATCCTCCCAGTGCATATCTTCCCAAGTCTCATTCTAGACATCTGTGCCATGTTGTCCCTGCCCTGGTCACTCTCTAGAGTTTTTCTTTGACCTCTGCCCACTGTAGCTTGGACAGACACCTCACTCTGTTTCTCCTTAACAACTTCACGCTCAATTCAAGATCCTCTCTTGAATGGCAAACTGCTTGCTGACCTATATTGCTATATGACTGACAACACTACTCAGGCAGAATCCACATTGAATGGGGCTCTAAGGAGCCATGGGGAAGAGCTACTCTCATGATGTCCTGGTCCCAGCTTATAGATGCTATCCAGTCATACCTGGAAGGTGAGAGGCTCTTAACAAAGGCACTGTGGATAGCTCAAGGCTCAGAAAGGAATCTTGAATCTGCAGTCCTGCTGTGAGGTCTCTGGGCAGAGTGGCCTGTAACCTGATGCTACAGAAGGGTGAGGCATCTCCAGTGGGTACCACTGATACCTCACTTCTGCCATATGGAAGTTACCGAGGACCCAAAAGGCTTTCTCGCCCTATCAGGCATCAGGATCCCAACATCCAGTGTCATCTCGCACTTGTGAGAAGACTCAGATTGCTCTGTGATACTGTCAAAGAGGCACACAAAGCAGCCACAAGACACAGAGGGCCTGACTATCCAGGCAGAGGGCCCAACTACAAATGTTCCTTCTCTAGCATGATGAGCCACTGGCAGAAGACAGTACCAGCACCTCCCCCTGGGAGCTTGGATGAAGCCAGGAGGGAAACAGGACTATCACTTACAGAGTCCTGGCCCCATTTTTGAGGGAAGAATCAGAATCACATCTCCCAGGAAGAGCTACTCAGGCCAATTAGCCAGGCAAGTGTCACCACCAGGAAGGTCAGCTTGGTCAGCTACCTGTCTTACTTTCCACCCCTGTGAGCAGAATGCAGGTCCCCATTCTGCTCCCAGGCCCTCGGGCTCCCATCCTGGGATTCTTAGTACTCCCCTGGCCTATGTACAAATTCTATAGCAGCTTTGTTCATGCTAAAACAAGGGCTGTCTCAGAATAACTGACATATTCTCCCCAGAGTAAGGAGGGATTAAGGGAGCTAAGGGAATGTCCCAAGAACCCTCTCTGCTACCCCTGTGCACAGGACTTCATGAAAACCACAGAAGACCTGAGTCCACAGAGCTCCACCCTATCCAAGAAGTAGATATATACAAGGCACTAGAGTGGCTTCACAAAGACAAACAGCAGACAAAAGGACAAAGACCAGAAGGGAGAGGAGGGCAAAGCTCAGAAAACCCTGGGCCTGTGAGTAGGACTTGGGAACAACAGGGAACATGCCCACCATTCCCACAGAAGGCTGGGCTGGAGCTGCCCATGAAGCAAATGACTGGGGGAAAGCAGTCAGGTGTGGAGGGAGGGTGTGTGCACAGAGTTATCATGGAGCCACAGATGGAGAATCATAGCAGAACCACTCACGGTGAGTTTACGCTGGAGACAGATGAGCTGCGAGATACAGTACCTCGAGTTTGCTTTACAAAACTGCACATGCAAGAAACAAAACATAAACAGGAGTGAGAAAAACCAGAGAACGTTCTGAGACACAAGTGACACTTGGGCACTGTATCAGTGCAGGTGCAGGCCGCAGTGCACATCTGGCAGAAGGCTAGAGATGCATCCACCAGACAGGCACTGGCCAAGACCAGGGCTAAAGAGAAGTTGAGAACCAATTCTACGTGTGCAGCAAGGTGAGGCAAAAGTGAACCAGCAGACCGTACATGGCTGGAAGACAAGACACAGTTCTCTCCAAGACCATCCATCACCGCGGCCTGGCCCACACTGCCCTCAGAAGGTGTGGTCTGGGAAGAGTTATAGCCACTCCCACACCCAGAGGCCTGGGCAGGCTGACCTAAAGCTGTGGGACTTGGATGAGCACATGGCATATACAGGAGGCAAGAGCATCCTTACCATGTGGGGCTACCCAGGCCTGCCACCTACCCCACCTGCTTTCTCCATAAGCACCTGGTCTCTGCTCCCAGACCCTCAGTTCCCATACTCAAGTCCCATGGCTTGCAGGTCCCAATGCTTTCCCCCAGGAAAGAATCAGGCTATGTTACTAACCCACCTTCCATGTTGCTGTTACAGCTATTTCCAAGTGATGTGTAGAAGTTTTTCCAAAAACAACAGAGAAAGCAAAAATCTCTTTACAGTCATTTTCTTTCACACTGGCTTCACAGGGATGCCCAGGAAAGTTTCAGTGCCCCTTTCTAAAGGCCAAGATCTTTATACACAGTAAACTGAACACAGTTCACCTTCACACAATCCTCAGGCATGTATGTACATCACAATGCTGATGAGAGAGTGGCTGTGAGTGTGAGATTGGGAGTATGATTTTATGAGATCGTGAGCATGAACACAGGACTTGTGAGTGTGAGATTTTGAGTGTGTGCAATTGTGAATGGGAGATTATAAGCGTATGTGTGGATGTTTGTAAGAATATGTCATATTGTGAATGTGAGACTATGCAAGATGTGAGTGTGATTCCGTGTGTGTGTGTGTGTGTGTGTGTGTGTGTGTGTGTGTGCCTAGAAGACTAGGCAAGGATGAGGAGTCACAGCAGAAAGCAAGATACCCCATATTTAGTGTCCTACTCCTTAGGAGCTTCCATGGAGGCTACACAGGCCTGCACCTCACCCCAGCAATACTGGAATCACCTGTCATGCTACCCAGGGTGCAGAAGGCCTCAATCCACATGCACACTGAAGCCGTTCAGCAGCCACACAACACCCCGAGAGAGACAACTGTGAGGAACACTGCAAGACAAGAAGTTCTTGACAGCTACATTCTCTCCAGTCTGGCAGGAACCCACAAGAGGGAACTCACATACAGCTCCTGTGCCCACTGAGGTCTTAGCATGGGTCATAAAAGTCAACAGCAGCAGCCTCACACTCAGTACCATGCACACGGGAAAGGCCTCACCCAGTGTGGGTGATTCCCCAGAATCTCTAGTCAAACCAGACTAACATATACTATTGTACATATGCCATTTTTGGGAATACACCACATCTGCAACAGTGTCTCCAAGTGGGGACAGGGTGGGAGGAGTGTCTGGGAAGTTTCTTCTGGGCCATGCCAAGGGCCCTAGACTCTTCCCTAGGCATTAGTCTAGAGAGGAACACCTCCAGGAATGGTGGACCTAGAGCAGCAAGAGCTGCTCATATCTAGGAACAACAGAAGGCACGTGCCAAAAGAGCATCACTTCATGCCACAGGTCCATATCATGCCATCCTCCCTACAACAGATCACCACCAGCTCACAGGGCTCATAGGACACGAGGAGGGACACCTGCCAGGTCTCATCAACCTCAAGATCAAGTTACTGAATTAAACTGGCCAGCTAGTCAGTAATTGAACCAGCCAGACAGTGAAATAACATGATAGAACACTGAGCTCCGAAAGTCATCTAAGCAACAAAAGCTAGGCCCCAAGCCTCCTGGCTCCCAAGAGCTCTGTCCCTATGGGCTGCAGCCATTCTGGCCCATGATTCCCAAGCCAAATGCTTTCTTTACACTTAGAGACAAGTCCTATGAAATATTATCTGGTCACACACACACACACACACACACACACACACACACACACACACACAAACACTACACCAACATCTACAACCAACCAATTCTAACACATAATTTAGCAGTGCAGGCATAAGTCACCACAAGGTACTGAGTCAAGGCCATGTATTCAGCCTATGAAAAGTATGTGGCAGGGTGAGTGTGCGGCTTCGATGCCAGCAGGGAATACTTCCTCCAAGATCCACCTATGGCCAGGCCCTGGGCCCAACTTCCCTGACTCCTAAACGCTACCTCCCCAAAGTCCCGAGCCCTCTCTGAAAGTCACTGTACCCAAGCCCCTGCTGGCTGGCAGGGAGACTGGGTCTTCCCAGAGTCCACCCGCCCTTTCCCATAACGGATGCCTCCATCCAAGCACTTGCAGACACTTTTGGAAGTGGCTGGGTTTCCAAGGTGTCACCAGAACCTTTTGTCTCACAAAGTGCATTTCTGGAAAATTATGTGTAAAATCTACACGTGGACTCCTTGTTCCCCTGATCCCAGCCAGGGCTTTTCCAAGAAAGGATCTCTAGGAATCCAACACGTGGACTCCTTGTTCCCCTGATCCCAGCCAGGGCTTTTCCAAGAAAAGATCACTAGGGCTACCCAGACACCATCCAGTGAGTCAGAGACCAGCTATCCCTACCCAACAGGAAGGTCATAGCCTCACACTCTGCCCATGTTCAGGCTGGGGAAAGCCTAAAGAATGCTCAAGTGAGCCCTTTGCTCAGGCTCCTTTCAACACAGTTCAAGGGGGGTGGCTGTGTCTTCACCAGCCCTGGCCAAGGCAGGGGTTCTGAGGAAGACATAGGCTCTGCAGCTCCCCAAAGCCACCCATATTCCATTCCCGGGAGCCTTACGCAGCGATGGAGATGTTGGCAGCAGACATAGGGCTGACTTCAGCTACTTCTTTGGCCTTCTGGAGAGCAAGCTTCTGATTGGCTGCTTCTTCCATCTCCTCTTCATCCTGTTTGAACAACAAAACTGACTGTCTTCTCAAGATGCTATGGCCACTCTGAGGCTCTGGCTCCTCTTCCTAAAGCCTCTTCTGCCCTCCAGACCCTGGAGCAGACATCCAGGTGGGTGGAGTCCCTTGTGATCCAGGATGAGTTCTCTCTAGTATTCTTCAAGGCGTCCCCTACTAAATCTCCCCTATGAGTGACAGTATCCAAGATTCCTGCAGCAGTGTTGGCTAGCTGTGCCATCCCCAGCTTGTTTCACATGTTGACGTCTCTATATTGTGCTTGTAGCCAGACCTTATTCCTGACCATCCCTACACCAGTACAAACCTACTACCAAAATATATATTATTTTTGCACCTCAGGCTTTTCACAGCAAATCTGCCCCTCTTTCCATCCCCCTGTGCTTCTAGGAGCTCCTGAACCACTTAAACAAAGTTGGCCTAATGCACCTCAGGCTTTTCACAGCAAATCTGCCCCTCTTTCCATCCCCCTGTCCTTCTAGGAGCTCCTGAACCACTTAAACAAAGTTGGCCTAACCCCCCCCACAAGGCCAGAAATAAGGGCAAGATGCCAAGTTCTTCCTGGTCCACCTTTGAGTTTCTCTACCTGAACCATTCAGAGTCCACAAAGTCCCACTTGGCCATTTGCCATTGGGATAGGACTTGTATTTGTGTAGGTACCTGTCTAGGAAGAGGAATCAACAGCTCACAGACCCTCTGACCTTGACCCCATGTCACTCAGCAAAACCAACAAGCTATGCTCCAGGACTCTGAATTAATACTGCTGCTGAGTCCATGACCCAAGAAGGAAGACCTCCATGCTCTCCATCTGAACTACTGGGCCTCCCATGGTTTCTTAAAACCCCTAAGTCTAGGCCTACCTAGCTCCCATGAAAGCTAGCATTCCTCAAAATGTGCCCAAATTTGCTTGAGGAACACGAAAATGACAAAAACTAAATACCCAGTTGCTACCCAGAAAATTCCTCTATAGAGAAGACCCTCAAGCTTCAGGCCCAGGAAGGAGATAACTAGTTTTCTCATACAGCACTCCCAGCCATGTGCTCGTCAAAGGTAGGAGACCAGACCTGATTTATAGCCCCCTGGGAAAGAGCCACCCTAATCACTCCAAGGTACATAGAAAATGCCCTAAATATCCTACAAATAATTCTGTAACCTCCGAAATGATGAGGCAAAATAAAGTTTTCTACCTATTTATTCTGCTTCTCTACTTTTTTTTGTCATAGCCATGAAAAGCTAATTAACACAGAATGGATTAAGTCCTCCCTTCTAGGGCTCCTGCCCAACTCAGGCAGTGTCATTTAGTCAGACAGACAGACCTTCATTGGTCCCAATTCCCAAGGTAGAAGGCATCCTGTATAGGCTCTACCATAGGATCTGTATACAGGCAGGTCCCTGAACACTGCCTCCTCAGCTTACCCTCACCCACAGGAGAACTTGAAGAGAGAGAGA